TCACCAAGATAGAATGTAGAACATTGTCTTTATAAACTGTGTTGTGCCAATTGAGCTAGATGTTCCCTGAGACCATGGTCCCCACAGGCCTCTGCCCAGCAATTCAGTCCCTCAGGGAGTTTGGAAGTATCTATGGAACTTCCATGACCTTTCCTTGTACAAGTTGTACTGGCTTCCCCAGTATTTGTATACTGTCATACCCTTTACCAAAGTTACCATTTATCTATTCCCTATTTAGTTCCTCCTCAACCCTCCCATCCCTTGTAACCAGCAAAGATTGTTTCTTTTTGTGTGCAAACTTTTACATGAGTTTTTATGGTAGAGGTCTCATACAATATTTGTCCTTTTGTGACTGACTTATTTCACACAGCATAATGTCCTCCAGTTTCATCCATGTTATGAGATGCTTTACAGATTCATCATTGTTCTTATCCTTGCATAATACTCCATTGTGTGTATGTACCATCGTTTGTTTATTCATTCATCTGTCGATGGGCATCTAGGTTGTTTCCATCTTTTTGCTATTGTGAACAGTGCTGCAATGAATATGGGTGTGCATATGTCTATTCGTGTGACAGCTCTTATTTCTCTAGGATATATTCCTAGAAGTGGGATTGCATTTTGTAGTGCTTTTTTTATGGTGCCGACATTTTCTTTGTTCCTCTTACTATCCTGTGCTGAGTTCCTTAAGTTTTGTGGATTTTTTTTTCATTTCTTCTGTTTTTGTAGGTTTTGTTTTTACTGAGACTTTATGTTTTTATTCTTTATTTTGATGAGTAGGTTTGTTAACTTTCTTTGTGGTTACCTTGGAATTTACCCCTATCTTCCTAGATTTGAACCAGTCTATTATTACTTGGTATCGCCTTGCCTTCCTCTCCATTAGAAGGTTCTGTACCTACACAGTTTATTTCCTCTTTTATTGTTCTGATGCTGTTGTCATTTACAGATTAACCTCTCTGGTTCCCTTTTGTAATTCTTTTGGTTTTGCATAGTCCTTAAGAGTTCATTTCCTAGGTTGGTATCTGGCTAGTGCAATCCTGTGTCCTAGATTCAGCCTGTGGTCTGATGTTGTTTGTTCTCAGATCGAAGGACGCCCTTTAATAAGCCTTGTAAGTTTGGTTTGATTTTTACATAGCCCCTTAATTTCTGTTTATCTGGAAATGACCTAATTTCACCATCATATTTGAGTAAGAGTTCCGCAGGATATATTATTCTTGGCAGGCAATTTTTTTTCTTTCAAGATTTTATATATGTCATCCCATTGCCTTCTTGCCTACATGGTTTCTGCTGAATAATCCGAGCTTAGTCTTATTGTTTCTACTCTGTATGTGACTTTTTGTTTTTCTCGAGCTGCTCTCAGGTTCTTTTTTTGTCTTTGGTTTTAGCAAGTGTGATTATCATATGCCTTGGTGATTGTCTTTTGGGGCCTATCCTATATGGGGTTTGTTGAGCTTCTTGGATGTCCAGCTTTTCATCTTTCATAATATTGGGGAAGTTTTCTGTTAGCAGTTCTTCAGTGATCCTCTCTGTGTTTTCTGTTTTCTCCCCCTGTTCTGGAACTCTGATCACTCACAGATTTTTGCTTTTGATTGTATCCCACATAATTCTCAGGGTTTCTACATTTTTCTTTGTGTTTTTTTCTGATTTTTCCTCAAACAGAGTTGTATCCAAGTGTTTGTCTTCAATTTCGTTGATCCTATCTTCCATCATTTCAAACGTGTTCCTCAGTCCTTCTATGATACTGTCCATTTCTGAAATCTTGCTTTTTATCTTTTGGATTTCTAATTGTTGTTTTTGTATGGTTTCTAGTTGTGAAGTTATTTTAGAATTTTGTTCGTGTATTATTTTCTTGAATTCTTCCATTTTTGTCTGTATTTTCCATAAATTTGTCTGCTTTTCCATGAATTTGTCTATTTTTTCCTCATTTTTGTCTGCTTTTTGCTTAAACTCTTGGATAATTCTGAACATTAGGGATTTAAATTCCCTATCAGTTAGGTCTACTGCCTTTTCTTCTACTGGAAGGTCAACTGGTGTTTTATTTTGGATGCCTACTGGAACCATCCTGTCCTGTTTTTGTAAATGTTTTGATATTGTCTGCTGTCTTCAGGGCATTAAGTCATTATTTTCCTTGTTTATTGATTTCAGATTTGTTTGTTTCATCCTGCTTTTTTGTTTTATTTGGTTATGTCTGAGCAGCCGGGCTGTGCTTTCTTTCTTGTTTGCTCATCTGTGGACACAATACTTCTCACCTCCTTCTCCAATGGGCAGGGTCAGTCACTCAGGTATAGTACAGCAGGGCAGGTGCAGCTGAAGGGGAGTTGCTGGGATGGGCTGTTTGTTGCACGTACCAGGACTGACAGTGCAGACTGGGAATCAGTGCAGGGCAGGTTCCAATAGGCCGTGCCTATGCTGCTTGGGAGTGTGACTTTCAGTGCACAGTGCAGGTAGGCAGGAAGGAGGGGGTAGACTGTGATATGTGGAGCTAAGATGGGTATGGGAAAGAGGAGAGAGAGGAGAGAGGAACAGGAGACAAAAACATACACACAAACAAAAAAGAGTATTAAGAGAGCTTGCTATTAGAGTGGAGAGATGCAAGACTGAGAAATGAGGAAAAAGAAAAAGGGTAAAAGAAGAAATGAATAAATCGAGAAACTGGAAATGAAGAAAGACAAAAACAAAATAAGAGAGAAAAGAAAACAAAAGAAAGAAACAAAAAAAGCCCAAAACAAAACAAAAGAAAAAAAAAAAAAACGAAGAAAAAGAAATGCCAGGAATGTCCCTGTGCATCTGCGCAGAATAAGGGAGTAGCTTCCAAGCCGTTCAGTGTTGCCTGGCTAGAAGGGGCTCCCAAGCCGAGAAAAGAAAAAGACAACAAACAAACAAATCAAAATATAACAAATCAGAGCAAACAAACAAACAAACAAAAAAGCCCCGGAGGTCCTACCAGCGTCGCGGCATGGGCCGGGAAGCAGTTTCACAGTCAATCAGTGTTTTGCAGCCTTTCAGGAAGAAGCAAAGATGGTGCACAGAGCCAGGTATTTGAGAGAAAGGAGGAAGAGGTGGTGAGAGGTAAGGAAGAAATCTAAAGAAGCAGGAAAAAGCAACACCAGCAGCCAACAAAAGGCACTCAGGGAGCCGGCCAGTGCAGGCGGGTGGAATCCAAGCAGCACCGGGGTTCTTCCCATCCAAGAGACTGTGGCTGCAGGAAGCAGAGGAGGCTAAGTGGGGGTGAAGAAGGGTGGGGGGTGGGAAAGCCTATATCACTGGTTACAGGTTGTTCTGTCTCCTGCTGGAAGCTCTGTGAAGCTGCTTTCTCATACCCCCTGTTCAATGATCTCCGATAGGAGTCCAAGATGGTGGATCCATGCTGCGGCAGCTGATAGGGGACCTCTGCATGTATCACTCCTCACTCTCCTCAGTCAGTTTCTTATTCCATTCGGTGCTTGGCTGAGTTCTTTATCTCTTCATTTGATGCTTAGGGTTTCAGGATTGATGTGTGACTCTGTTTAACTTAGTCTTTCTGATCTTTGCTGCAGAGGGATGGCGTGGTGCTTCTGACTATAGCGCCACATTGCCCAGAAGTCTTTGCTCTTGTGAATATTTGTTCAACACCAAGCAAATTTGAATGTCCCTGCATATGCCCAGTACAGTTGGGCCACATCATCTGTGGTGAGTAGAATGGCTACCATTTTATGAGACAGTTTTGTCTAAGTCTCCTTCTTTTGCTGCTGTTCACTCTGTTTAACTCCCGCCCTGTCTTTCCTGGTCTTAGATACGTAGTCTTCCTGAAGCTGTTCCTGGAGACGGCAGACAAGTACTTCACGGTGGGACACTAGGTCAACTACTACATCTTCACTGACCGGCTGGCAGACATCCTGCACATCCTCCTCCAGGAAGGCTGGCAGGTGGTGGTCCTCGAGGTCTGCAACTACCCCCACTGGCAGGACATGTCCATGCACCACATGGAGATGATCAGCAACTTCTCCAAGCAGTACTTCCTGTGTGAGGTGGACTACCTGGTGTGTTTAGACGTGGACATGAAGCTCAGCAACCATGTGGGCGTGGAGATCCTCTTCTTGTTTGGCACTCTCCACCCTGGCTTCTATGCTGCTGATTGCCAGGCCTTCACATATGAACGCCGCCCATTGTCTCAGACCTACATTCCGAGAGATGAAGGTGATTTGTACTATGCTGGCAGCTTTTTCAGGGGCTCAGTGCTAGAGGTACACAGGCTCACTAAGGCCTGTCACCAGGCAGTGATGGTGGACCACACCAATCACATTGAGACTGAGTGCCATGACGAGAGCCACCTGAACAAGTACCTGCTGCACCACAAGTCCACAAAAGTGCTCTCCCCTGAGTACCTCTGGAATGAGAGGATGCTGTGCAGACCACCTTTTCTCAGGAAACTGCGATACGTGGCCGTGCCAAGAACCACCAAGCCCTCCAGAACCAATGAGACCACACTTTCTACATTAATTGTAAGGCTGGCAATAAATGTTAGTGGTGTTGGGATTTTGATAAGAAATTGGTCAAAGTTTGGTAAAGTGAGTGCATTTCTTTTGATTTCCTCTTCTGGAGTGGCTGAGACCACTCACCAAACAAACCGATGAACAGTTGGAAGAACTGTACGGTGAACACCCATATGCTTATCACCCAGATTCTACTATTAACATTTCACTATTTTTGCTTCATCATATATCTTATCCATCTCTCCATTCCTCCTTCTATCCATCAACCAACTAATTTTTTCTCTATTTGATAATAAGTAGCAGATATCAATACATTTTACCATTAAATACTTCAGCATACATAATATGAATTAGAGTCCAATATTTGTCTGAAGTTCTTTTTGGGGGTAAAATTTACAACCAGTGAATATTCACTACACAGATCTAAAGTGTACCATTTGGTGAGTTTTGTCAAATGCATGCTCATATGTACCACAAACTCCACTGAAATATAAACTTCAGCACTCCGGAAAGTTCCCTTTTGTCCCTTTCCAGTCAATCCCTGTTCCTGCCCACCACATAAAATCACTGTTGGGATTGTTTTCCTGCCGTTGATTAGCTTTGCCTTTTCTAGAACGTTGTATAAATAGTATTGTCCCAGTAACATGAAAGTTGCCTCCAAAAATGGAGGGCACCAAGAGACTGAAGAAAGAGACAGGCAGCTCCAGGTTGGCAGCAGAGGAGTTTATTAAGGAGACTTACATGTGAGTCAGATTCTGTGTGGCATAAGGACAAGCAGACCTCTGTGCCCCACAGTGGGGGAGAGGGGGGCAGAGGTTTTTATATTGGTGGTGGACAATAGTGGCTACATGCCAGGGATGCCTCTAGACTGACATAAGGCTGCCTCAGCAAGAATTATGTAAGAATAACTTAGCAAATGGCAGTGAACTAGCAGAAAGCATGATGGCAGCCATGTTCAGCCTTGCAAAGCCTTTTTAACCTTCAGCCCACCCCTCGAGGCCAACTCTTACAATCTGGCACATTCCCCCTCTTCTGCACGGTCCAAGAGGGCCTCAAGATGAGGTGTTACACCAGTTAAGGACAGACAGCATTGCTGCAGTTGGAGGGAAAGACCACACTAGCAATATAGACAAACAGCAGAAAAGACCTAGACCCAACAACAAACCTTGCCAGCCAGAGGGAAAAGAGGATAACCAGGCAGCCACAGCAGATCAGCCACCAGGTGTGTCCAAGACTTCTGTTTCTTCATATGGCCCAGCAAATCAGTTGTGTTCTGGCGATAGTCTGGTATATAGGTACAACATTCAGTTTTTACTATGGCACATGTCCTGTTAAATAACTTGTAAAGTGTGTGCTCTGCTCACTATCAATCCTTCGGGGCATGCCATAAATAACACTCAACTTTTGTAATTCTTTTACTGTAGCAGCCTAGTTCATTCTTTTACACGAGAACGCCTGTGTCAAGCCAGTAACTGTCCACACATATGAGAGTGTATTTTGCTCTCTCACTGGGCTGCACAGGCACTATGTAAGCTACCTACCAATTCATCCATGGCTGTGTTCACCGATGTATCTTCCCCAGATCATGAGGAGACACCTTGGGCATTGGTGTGAGCACACAGAATAATTTTGTACAGCAACCTCCAAATCACTGTACTTCACGCTATGCCTGCCTCTTTAGCTGTTTTTCAACCAACATGGGCACTACAGTGTCCACTTTTCTGGTACATCCAGTGTGTAGCTTCTCCTTTGGGATGCACCATTCCAACTTGTGTTACAGTGTCTGCTTCTTGGTTTCCCAGCGGGGAAAGAGGTGAATGGGCTGCTACATGAAAGACAGGTTAGTGTCCGAGGTTTGGAGGTAATCCCAGATGTCTTGCCTCAAGGCTTTCCACCCCGTAAAAAATGGCATGGGTGCAGCATCTGACCTCTTCTCTCTCCACAAGGGGAAAGGAGATTCAAGATTAATGCTGTAATGAGAATTCTGGCTGTACTTCTCTCACGATAGATTTGTGTGTTTTTCCAGCAGTCCGTGGTATATTCAGTATTCTTCGCCAACACCATGATTCAAAGTTATCAATTCTTCTTCAGTCTTCCTTATTCATTGTCCAGCTTTCACATGCATATGAACATTACTCAACCTGAATTGTAATCTGTTACTTCCCTAATAAACCCCATAATCATGAGTATTGTCTGTGAGTTCTGTGTGGCCATTGCAATGAATTCTGAAACCCAGAAGAGAAGTAGAGAGTGCTGTGGGAGGGACAGTTGGTGTCAGATTTTGTAAAGATGGCAGAGAGGGGAGGCATATCTGAACTCTGCCTCATACGAATCAGGTTTGGGCTGTTGATACAGTGGCTGCAATGATGGACTTAAGCATAACAAGACCAGGCAGTGCTTCCTTCTGTTCTATATAGGGTCGCTATGAGTCAAAACCAAATCGACAGCACCTAAAAATGATAACAATGGGCAAAATACTGAATGACGCAGGAAGCATCAAAAGAAGATGGAAGGAAAACACAGTCACTATAGCAAAAAAGAATTGGTAATGTTCAACCATTTCAGGATTTAGCATATGATCAAGAACCAATGGTATCGAAGGAAGAAGTCCAAGCTGCACTGAAAGGATTGGCAAAAAATAAAGCTTCAGGAATTGACAGAATGCCAGTTGAGATGTTACAACAAACGGATGCAGCTCTGTAGGTGCACAGTCATCTATGTCAAGAAATTTGGAAGATAGCTACCTGGCCAACCGGCTGGAAGAAATAGATCATTTGTGCCCATTCCAAAGAAAAGTGATACAAAAGAAAGAGGAAATAATCGAACGATATCATTAATATCACACACAAGTAAAATTTTGCTGAAGATAATTCAAAAACAGTTGTAGCAGTACATCGAGAGGGAACTACCAGAAATTCAAGCGGGATTCAGAAGAGGACATGGAGTAAGAGATTTCATTGCTGATGTCAGATGGCTCTTGGCTGAGAGCAGAGAATACCAGAAAGATGTTTATTTGTGTTTTATTGACTATGCAAAGGCATTCGATAGTGTGGATCACAAGTAATCATGGATAACATTATGAAGAATGGGAATTCCAGAACACTTCATTGTGCTCGTGGAGAACCTGTACATAGACTTAGAGGCTGTTGTTCAAACAGAACAAGGGGATACCACATGGTTTAAAGTCAGGGAAGGTGCGTATCAGGATTGTATCCTTTCACTATACTTATTCAATCTGTAAGCTGAGTAAATAATCCGAGAAACTGGGCCATATGAAGAAAAAAGTGGCGTCAGGATGGATGGAAGACTCATTAACAACCTGTGATATGCAGATGACACATCCTTGCTTAGTGCAAGTGAAGAAGACTTGAAGCACTTACTGATGAAGTCTACAGCCTTTAGTATGGATTACGCCTCAACATACAGAAAACACAAATCCTCACAACTGGACCGGCAATCAGCATCCTGAAAAACAGAGAAAATACTGATGCTGTCAGGGATTTCATTTTACCTGGATGCACAATCAACGCCCATAGAAGCAGCAGTCAAGCAATGAAACGACGCATTGCATTGGGCAAATCTGCTGCAAAGAACCTCTTTAAAGTGTTAAAAGCAAAGATGTCACTCTGAGGACTAAGGTGCACCTAACTCAAGCCATGATATTTTCGATTGCCTTAAAGCTGGACAATGAATAAGGAAGACTGAAAAATTGATGTCTTTAAATTATGATGTTGGCAAAGATATTGAATCTACCATGGACCACCAGAAGAATGAACAAATCTATCATGGAAGAAGTACAGCCAGAATGCTCCCTGGAAGCAAGGATGGTGAGACTTCATCTTATGTACTTTGGACATGTTATCAGAAGAGACCAGTCCCTAAGAAGGACATCATGCTTGGTAGAGTAGAGGGTCAGTGAAAAAGAGGAAGACCCTCAATGAGATGGATTGACACAGTGGCTGCAACAATGGGCTCAAACACAGCAACGATTGTGAGGGTGGTGCAGGACCCAGCAGTTTTTCGTTCTTTTGTGCATAAGGTCGCTATGAGTTGGAACTGACTCCATGGCACCTAAAAGAACAACAACTTAGCGTTAATATTGCACCACTTCATGTATAAAGGGAGCCCTGGTGGCACAGTGGTTAAGAGCTCTGCTGCTAACTCAAAGGTCAGCAGTTCAAATCCACCAGTCGCTCCTTGGAAACCCTATGGGGCATTTCTACTCCACCCTACAGGGTCCTTATGAGTCAGAATCAACTGGATGGCAGTGGGTTTGGGTCATGTAAAATGTAAGAACCTTGTAACTATATAGATTCCTTTACTGCCCCCCCATCCTAAAGGCCATAGTTGTCATATGCATTACTTCTACATATGTTATAAACCCCACACTACAGTGTCATAATTTTTGCTTGAAACATTTCATAGAGGCAGAAAATTCTCTTGGTTTTCCTTTCTCTGAAAATGTGTTTATTTTTAAAATGTCTTTATGTTGTCTTCATTCGTGAAGGACGTTTTCACTTGGTAAAGAACTCTGAGTTGACGGTTATTTCTTTCATCCCTTTAAAGATGTCATCCCACTGTCTTCTTTCCTCCATTACTTCTGATGAGAAGTGACAGTGTTTGCATTGGTCTTCCCCTGTATGTCATATGTTCTTTTTTCTCTGACTGCTATTAAGAGGTGTTTTTTTTTTTTTTTTTTTTTAAGCCTGTGAACAGCCATCTAAGATACTCCACTGGTCTCACCCCTTCAGCAGCAAGGGAGAATGAACAAAAAACAAGATACAAGGGAAAGATTAGTCCAAAGGGCTAATGGACCACATCTACCACAGCCTCCATCAGACTGAGTCCAGTACAACTAGATGGTGCTCGGCTACCACCACTGACCACTCTGACAGGGATCAAAACAGAGGGTCCCAGACAGAGCTGGAGAAAAATGTAGAACAAAATTCTAACTCACAAAAAAAGACCAGACTTACTGGCCTGACAGAGACTGGAGAAACCCCAAAAGTATGACCCCCGGAAACACTTTTAGCTCAGTAATGAAGTCACTCCCAATGTTCATCCCTTCATCCAAAAAGTAGATAGACAGCCCCATAAAACAGAACGAGACTAATGGGGCACAACAGTCCAGGGACAAGGACTAGAAGGCAGGAGGGGACAGGAAAGCTGGTAATAGGGAACCCAAAGTTGAGAAGGGACAATGCTGACATGTCGTGGGGTTAACTATTGTCATAAAACAATATGTGTACTGTTTAATTAGAAACTATTTGTTCTGTAAACCTTCATCTAAAGTACAGTTGAAAAAAAGAAAAAAGTTTATTTTTAAACTTTGGAGTCATCAGTTTGACTCTGTGCTAGGTGTAGGGGTGTATGTGTAGTCATGTATGTGTGCTTTTTATTCTGCTTCTGGTTTGTTGAGCTTCTTGAATCTGTAAATGTATGTTTTTCACCACATTTGGGAAGTTTCTAGCCATTATTTTTTCAAATACTGTTTCTTGAGTGGCATCTTGACCCTTCAGACATTCTGTCTTCACACACCTGGGCTTCTGACCCATCTCACATCCTCATTTACCAAAACTGGGCTGCTTCCTCAGCCCTTCCACCCCTCATTACCCACATCTCGGTGATATTCTGGCCCTGCCCACATGCTTACTCTTCACAACTGTGTCTTCTCCTCTCCCAGCCCTCCTCCTCACCTCACCCCTTCTTCCTCCTCAATTCCTAACACTGGGCATTCTACAGCCCCTCAAGGCTCCCAATTACCCAATCTTAGGCCTTCTCCTGGCCCCGCCCACCTCACCGCCCATACGGAAACCTTGTCACCTCCTCACTTTCCAAGTTCAAGCTGGTTTGCTTCCTGACCCTGACCACCTTCTCACTGACCACAACTGGGCTTTCACCTGCCTCTTCCATTTCTTCACCTCCTGTACATGGAATGCTCCTGACCCCGTCCACCTCCTCACTTCCCACACCTGTGCCTTCTCCTGACACTTTCCACATCCTTTCTCTGCAGACATTTGCTGTCTGTTGACCCCTCCACCTTCTCACTTCCCATCCCTGTGCTGCCTCCTGACCCCTAGCACCTCCTCAACAGGCACATCTGTTCTTGCACTGGACCCTCCACCTACTCTCTCCCTACACGGGTGCTTTCTACTGACTCACCTCCCACCTTACTCCCGAAACCTCACTGGCTTCTGCATTGCCACACCTGTGCACTCACTGACCCCTCCCACCTCATCATTACCACACCTGTGCCTTCTTACGGATCCTTGCTCCTCCTCAGTTCTATACCTTCCACACCTACCACTACTGGGCCACCTCCTGAACCCTCCTACTTCATCATTACCACATCTGATGGTGGTGTGCTCCCCCGTCCCACCTTCTCACTTCCCATACTTGGTCTGATCCCTTCTATCTCCTGAGTCACCACACTACTGCTGCCTCTGGACCCCTAATGACACCTTGTTACCCACATCTGGGCCTTCTCAAGGCCTCTCCAAGCTCCTCAGCACCCATAGCTTGTCTGCCTCTTGATCCCTCCCAACTCTCACTCCCCACACTTGGACTGTGTCCTCACCCTTCCCACCTCCTCTTTCCCTATCCCTGGGATTTATCCTGTAGGCAGGCACTCAAACACCTGTCCACAAATTCTCACGGCAGCACTCCTCCCTCCCATCAGTCAAAAGGTGGATACAACCCAATGTCTATCAACAGATGACTGGATGAACAAAGTGTGGTCCCCTACACAATGAGATACCATCGAGCCTTAAAAGGAATTAGAAACTGACAAGTGTTACAATGTGGATGAACCTCCAACACATGAAGCTAAGTGAAAGAAGCAGGTACAAAAAGCCACATATTTCCATTTAGATAAGAAATCCAGAGCAGGTAAACCCATAGACACAGAAAGCCAATCACTGGTTGCCATGTACTAGGGTGAGGGGGCATGGGGAGGCCTGCTTAATTGGAACAGGGTTTCTGTTTTTGGTGATGACAATGTTCTGAAGTAGATAGATACTGGTGATGATTGAATAGGATTGTGAAAGCAAATTTGTTGTTAAGTTGTTAAGTGCCATCCAGTTGGTTCGACTCATAGGGACCCTACAGGACAGAGCAGAACTGCCCCATAGGGTTTCCAAGGAGTGGCTGGTGGATTTGAATGCTGACCTTTTGGTTAGCAGCCAAGTTCTTAGGCACTATGACACTAGGACATAATAAAGCCACTGTATTACACACATTTAAACTATTAATACCATTAAGATAGTATAAACTATAAAGTTAAATAGTATAAACTATAAATACTACAAGTAAACCACAGCAATAACTACTCAAATGAAAGTAGAAAGGGTCCAGTTCTGGAGCCGACACTCCCTCACTGTGGATGAGGAGCTGCTGTGGGAGAGATGAGGCAACTGGTGGCCTGGGAGCTGGTTCTAGAGGTGGCTCATGTTCAGAATCCAGCCCTCCAGCAGGCTCTTTTAGTTGCAGTGCTGGAACCAGTGATGGAATAGTGGTGCTCCATGGGACTCCAGTGTTAATACAGAAGGAGGATTAACATCTGGAGGTGGTCAAGGAGCAGATTCTGGAGGTGCTCCAGGATAGGAATCCCTCTAGTCGGCTCTCCATCTGGTGCTGGAGATGAAGCTGTGGATACAGGGCCTGGTGTTCAATCTTGCTTCAATGTTGGTTCAGGAGCAGGATCTACCTCACCAGGTGGTATAGGAGTGGATTCTGGACGTGGCCCAGCAAAGGAATCTGACTTCCCAGCAGACTCTTCATCTGGTGTCTGTACCAGAGCTGAGGATGGAGGAGCAGAGGCTACATTGAGCCCCTGGGCTGGTGCATAAGCCTGATCAACATCAGCCAGTGATCCTGATGCCGGTTCTGGAGGTGGCCCAGGATAAGAATCCAGCTTTCCAGCATGCTCTTTATCTGGTGCCTGGGCCAGAGCTGGATATGGATGCCCTGGGGCTACACTGATCTCTGATGTTGCTGCAGGGGCAGGATGGATGTCAGCCAGTGGTCCTGGTGCCGGTGATGGAGGATCTGGTGTTCTATCCAGCTTGGGTGTTAGTTCAGGAGCAGGATCACCTTCACCAGGTGGTACAGGAAATGGTTCTGGAGGTTGCCTGGAAAGAGAATCCAGCCCTCCAGCAGGCTCTCCATCTGGGGTTGGTGCTGGTGACGGAAGACTTGATCCTCTATCGAGCTCCAGTATTGGTGCCAGAGCAAAGCCACCTGGAGGTGGCCCTAGATCGTCAGCTGCTTTTAGATCTGGTGCCGGCCCTGAGGTTGGAGGTGCAAGAGGAGAAATGATCACCGACATGACCGCCTTTTCTTGTGCCTTCCCAACAACGGAAAACATCCTGCTGCCATGAAGAGAAGCCCAAGCCCAAGTTTTCCACCCCATGAAGTCTTCCCAAACTGCAGTCCACCAGAGGAAGATCTGAGGTTACTCTGAGCTCTGGCCCATCCCCATCCTCTCGGGGTCCTCCCTGTGGGACCCATATCTTGTCCCCCTCACAAACTCACGTACAGGCATGCCCAGTCCTCCTCACCCTTTGGCTCTGCCTCAGTGGGCTCCAGGTGACCCAGCTGGGCACAGAGAAGGTGGGCACGGTGCTCCAGCTCTGAGCCTGGCAGGCTCACCTGCAGGCACTCCACCAGGAGCTTCAGGCAGGGGAAGTACGGAGACTGGTCGAAATCCTCCAAATATTCATTGAGCCATGTGTTCAGGATGAAAGAGATGGCTCTGGGGATGGGTGGTGAAGAGCAGGGTCAGAGGCTGGCCTTTCCCACCACACTGCACTTTCAGGGCACCCCTGCAAGGGGCCAGTTCCCTCTGTCTGCTCTGTCCTCCCAAAGGCCACCTACACGCTGCACCATGCCCTCTGGCTGTCGTGGCAGTGGCAGGCCTGGTCACTAAGCAAGGGGCTAGCACAGACTCTCGGTCCCAGGGAGCTCCCCATCAATGGTCGGACAAACTCTCACTCCTCAGGAAGCCTGACTTACATCCCCTTCTGTCTCCTGACCCCCTCCTTAATGGACAGTAAACCCCCAAGGGCAGAGAGGGTTGTGTCTGCGTGTTCACCTCACAGCCTGGCACACAGTAGTGCTCCAGGAATATCTGATGCTGAGGACACACGGAGTCTGTCCCTGCCCCAGCCTGCACCGGCCCTGGGGCCCCTTCACCTGGAGCGTGTGCATCAGCGTGCTGCGTGGTTCTCTACAGGCACGTGAGGGTCTCTTCTCCCATGGTCACTGTTCTCCTGAGGGACAGAGGCCCCACGTGCAGCTGAGCACCCACAACAGGGGTGCAGGATTCAGGAGGTTTCTCCCCCCACCTCCTGGTCTGGCCCTGATCGGGGAGGGGAAAACCAGAGATTGGAGAGGAAAGTGGGAAGGGTTCCCTTAGGGGCCACTCTGAGCCCCCAGCCTCCCCTCTGCTCCTCAGGATGCCAAGGCTGCACCACAGCTCTGCGTGACCACTTTCCTCCACCAGGGGAGCCCCTGAACTCATTTCTCCAGGGGATCTAGATGTGTGGGACCCAGTGTCTACCTATGCTAAATCCAGACACAGGCTCCCTACACTCCCCCACCCTTCTGTGGAGACAGCAGCCCCTCCTTCTCCACCCAAAGTCCACTCACTCTTTTATCTCCTCCTGGGGTTCGCCGTCCCTAGCAGAATGGGGGCAGTTGAATCCATACCTAGAGGAGGCGTGAGGGTGTCACATCTAATGCACCGTGGACACTACCTGTTTACGATGCCTAGTGTTCCTGTCTGACTCCCCGACTAGAATGGAGGCCCAGGCGTGCAGGGCTTCCTTTCTGCTTTGTTCATTGAACAGTGCTAAATGCCTAGAACAGTGTCTGCAACAGTAGGGGCTTCATAGATAATTGCTGAATGAATGAACCCAACCAGCACCATCCCTGATATCTGAGTGGGCCTGGGGCCCCTCTGCCAGCCCCCAGGGTTTCCTGTTCTGCCTACACCAAGGACAAGGACCCATTAAATGGAATCTCAACCCTCTTTACAAATGGGAGATAGGTTTGCTCAAGGCACACAGTCAGTGAGGAGTGAGGCAGGCAGACAGCTTCCTCATGGAGAACAGGAAAACAAGAAATGTGAATACCCCAGCCCCTCCAGCAGCCTTGTCCACAGAGCTGCACTCTATGTACACACTTTCCATGGCTTGTCCCATGTGGTCCTGACAGTAATTCTAGCAGGTTGGGCCATTACCGCCCCTCTTCTCGGAGGAGCAAACTGAGGCTCAATGTGATGAAGTGACATTCCCCAGACACAACTGGCAGGGGGTAGAGTCTCCACTGGGCTGTGGAAGGTGGGGCCCTCACCTTTGGAACAGCAGGTACAGGACCTGCTGGGTGGTGGTGAAGGTTCTGTATGTTCCCAGGAAGATGTGGATGAAGGAGAGGTCACCCTCCAAGAAGGCGGGCACCAGGTGCTCCATCAGCTGCTCCAATGAGCTTGCCTTGAAAGTCCACACCATGCAGGTCCCACACAGGTCCTGGTTTGACCCACAGACACACTAGGGTGGGACAGAGGAGGGACATGCCATCAGAAGCAGTCTCATAAACCACCAGGAGCGATGGGGTCTCAGACCTCTGTGACCCGTGGCAGGAGGTGGGACACGAGTGCCTCCAGCAGAACACAGTAGGTTAGGTGGGTCAGTGCATGAAGACACATCTAAGTGTTCTTGTAGCCCTGTTGAAAGGGCAGCAGAAGGAATCAGTTCAGGGCCAGCAGCAGTGAGACCCTCAATCACTGTGGGAACCAGCCTCCCTTCTGGAATGTTCTGCAGCGGAGTCAGGACACTGCCCCTGACCTGGAGAGGTCACGGTGATGTGTTCCCCGAGATAACAAGTTGTAGATAAAGATGTATCATAGCCTGAGACCCCACGCTTTAGAATAAAAGAAGCTGGCTCAGAGTGAGGATGTCTGAGGCTGGGAGAAGGTGGGGAAGGACAGTCCAGCTGAGTGCTGCCTGGGGCCCTGGGGTCGAGAGTTAAACGCTGAAACAGGAGCAACATGGAAAAAGACGTTTGGGCTGATATGAAGTGAAAAGTCTCAAAGACTTGTTTCCGATATTCCTACAAATATCGGAAAAGTGGCTTTGCACCTGGCCAAGGTAGGGAGGGCAGTGTGGTGAGGCGGGAAGGGTGATGCCTGATTCCTTTGGGAGGGACCTGGGGGCCCTTGAGAGGGAAAGTCCTGGGAGGGAGCTGGGGGTCTCCAGGGCACAGTCTCAGTCCCAGGCCCCCTCTAGTCATCTGAGGGCTCTGGTTGGGTCCCCTACACACTCACCCAGAGCCTCTGCCAGCCCTTCGGGGCCCCTTTCTTGGTGTAGACGGAGTAGATGATGCTGTTCTTCTTCTCCATGTGGATCTTCTGTGGGGGGTTCTGCAAATACAGAGCCTGGCAGTGACCTGGGAGGCATCAATGGCTCCTCTCAGCCTCCTCCTTCCCTCTCTGCCCCGTCAGGCCCTTGTGCCCCCTTGACCTCAGAGGAGCTCCCAGTCTACACCACAAACTGGGCAGGTCAGCTTGGGGCTACACCATCCAGCCCTGTCTAAGTTTACTGACCAGGCATAGAAATAGCACCCTCTGAGTGTTGCAACAGGATCTGGGAGGAGCTGGGCTGGCACAGGGTCAGCAGTGGCCCAGGCAAGGCCCGCAGCTAGGACTGTGGGGTGCCTGCTCCGCCAGGGCCAGCTAGAGCTAAGAGACGGCCCGGGTGAGAGTGCCAACTCAGCCTGTGACCACCCCCCCGACCTTCCCTCCCTAATGTCCTGGTGTGAAATGGGGTCCCTGGGCAGAGACTTAGGTCCCAGCATCCTATGTGATCAGGGAGGTGAAGCAGTCTCCACCTTTTCCACGCCAGCCTCTGGTCTCCAAGGCACCAGACCTGATGGAGTAGGCCCGCCTACCACCCTAATCCAGGTCATTCCCAAGCCCGTGAACCCATTGATGGTGAGAGGCTGTGGGGATGGAGCTGGGGGAGCCCTCAATGAGTGCTAGTCATGAAGCAGCAACAGCAGCAGCACCATTTTCATCCCCCTCCTCCTCACCTCTCCCCTCCCAAATCTCCCCAGATCACATGTCCCCTCCTTCGCTGACCCCTACCCACTTCCCTCCCATTTGGATCCTGCATTGTCTAACAACTTTTGTCCTCCTCAGTTCCGTCCTCATTTCTTCCCTGAACCCTTTAGCAGGGACCCCATGAAGACAAGGGCTGGCGTGTCCTGGGGGCTGGTATGACCTGGGGGAGGGCTCTGGGGCTGCTCAGATGGGATCACAGTGGTGGCCTTGTCTGGATTGCCATTCTGGGTCACCCTGTGTTCCCTTCAGTTTCTTTTCAGTAAATGGCCATATCCTTCCGGTATGTGGGCTGAAAACATGTCTCAGCCTTCGTGAAAGTGTCCAACTCCTGGATTTCTCAAGTTTTGATACGAGAGAAGACGAGCGACAAAAAAACGTTCCTAGCTCGAGTGTCTCCACTCAAGTGAGCTGGGTACGGGTCTGTCTCTAGGATGTGGGGGCCTGGTTACCAAGGTTCCAAGTTCTATGTACTGTATCACCAAGGAAGTGAGGTCATATCCTGAGTCCCTTGACCTGGGCCCAACCTCAGATAACACCTGCCAAAGGTCCCTCTGGGCTGCTGAATGCTCATCTCTCCTCATGCCACCTCCATAACTGTGCACAGTGACACCAACACAGCCCCCACAGAACCCAGGGAAGGCCTGGGTGCAGCCAGGACACCAGCTTTGAGCAGACAGAGCTGGGTTCAGACATTGCTCATCCCTCTTAACCAGTTAGCACCCTGGACAAATCTTGTGATTCTCAGAGCCTCCTCAGTCTCCCCACTACACAGTGGGGCTCATTCTAGCATCTTTTTCCTAGGGACATCGGCAGGTGTATGTGAGATAACACCTATAAATCCACAGGCTGGTGTCACATGAAGTGAATGTACGAACTCAGAGATGGGAGAATTTCAAGCATGGGTAGGAAGAAGCATGGGCTGGGTTCTGGTGGTGTGAGCTTGGGAAGTCACTTCCCCTTCTGGCCTCGTTTCCTTGTCTGCACCAGGAGAATTTGGAATTAAATGAACATCAGATATTTCCACCCTCTGTCTGGCTTAAAACCCTCCAATCACTTCCCTTATTTAGAATCTGACCCAGTGTCTCATCTCGGACTAAGGGGTGGGCAGCCTGCATGATGGCTCCCAGTGATCCTGCCTTCTGGTCTCCACATCCTATGTGACCCCTTTCCCTAGTGTGGGCTGGACTCAGGGACTTGC